TGTATTGATATGATTTTCTTCAATAGTTTCTAAATGTCCTCTTACATTTTTATCTTTAAAATAATTAAAGTTAAAAAACTTCATTTGCTGTGAAATAAAAAAGCCCAAACCTAAAAATTAAACTAGAGAAACAATATACCTAGAAAAAAACTAATCAGATTTATTTGCAACACAAGGGAAAATGGACTGAAATATAATTTAATTCCGGAATGGATTTTACTGTCTCTTATTCATCTTTTAATTTGATTAAAAATTAATGTGAATAGAGGTTAGTAAAATTCAGTATCAGATCCTTCCAGTCATTTTTTGTAAATTTTCAAATTTCTGCCAAGAAACACACAACAGATACAATAAAATGTATTTTCCAAAGGGAGCAGTGTTGCATCTTCAGCTGTCAACATGAATCAGTTGCCGTGCATTTTCTACAAAAATACATTTCAAACGTTTTGGCCGACCAAAATGATTTTCCTTCCCGGCTGAATGATTTGCTGGAACCGCTTTGGTGGAGGCAGAATTTGAAACAGGGGCACCACATGTCAAAAGATGGAGCAAATAGTTTGTCTTTGTGACGGTGACAGTTGTGGATTTTCATCTGAATAAATCTGGCATGCGCTCCTGTATTCAACGATTTCTTTTTTTTTCCCAGCCAAAACACATATTGTGTTTGACTTACACATTAATAGAGGCTGCTTCACTGTGCCAAGCAGCTGCATATTAGGACCTATTACGTGATTTCATAGCTCTTAGAAAATTGCTCCTATTCACAGCGAAAGGGCTGGGGGTAGGGTAACAGGGTTGGTGGGGGGAGGTGGCTGTGGGAGGACAGGAGAAAAAACCCCAACACACAATCATGCCTTTTCAAGCAAAGATGGCAAGGTTGATGACAACATGACCATTGTGTTATAATGATAACACCACAAAGGCATCTGCCCCCCTCATCAAGGCTTTACAGAGGCTGCAGATACAATTTAATTCAGCGCTCTGTTGGCGGCGCTGATACCATTATGCAGCCCGTCGGCACAGGGGTAATCACTGTCTTTCCTGAGAGAAAAAAAATGAACGACAAACAATAAAAAGAGAGATGGAGTGATGGCGATGGGAGGCCTAAACTTACAATTAAGACTTCCAGCCCTGACGTGCCAAAAAACCCCCCGCAGACTGGTGCTTATACACTTGCATCACTTCCAGCGCTGTTTATTTACCGTGCCCGCCAGTGATTATAATTAACGTGTCATTTAGTTCAAAACGGCCTTTCCTTTACCGAGAGGAACGGAGGAGAGGTTGAATGGAAATTGGCGGCTAAGTGCTATTGAATGACTGATGTGGAGGGCACCAGTGGAACGTGGATATCACCCGCCACTGGTGTTCATCAAGTTCTTAATTAGGTGTCGCTAGGGGGAAAAGGAATTGCCCACAGCAATGGCACTAATGCTTAATTTCTCCCCCGCTCAACCATACTGTTTAATTAGTTAAGTGGCAGGGCATTCTCAATGGGTGTTTTAAAAAAAAGAAAAAAAAGAAAACGGAGGTGTGATTGCAGTTCAAAAGACATTAGGAAGGAAATATCAGATCACCACGTCTCTGGTAAGCCTTTCCATATATTCTTGGGTGGGTTTGGGACTCAGAAAACAGCATTTCCTCATCCCCAGATAAACACAATGAGGAATCAGTTGATCGTTTTGGAGGTTTTCTCATACTTGGAGCTCATAGCTGCATAAAAGATCTTTTTTTTTTAATGGTAATGATGAGAAGAAATTCTCTCCTTGTCTTTTCAAAAGTTTAAAGAGGATTGTTTGGGGGCTCCCTCTCCAAACTAGAGCAATAAAGTTTACACACAGACCCATTTGCCTCCTAAAAGATGAGAGTTTTTTTTTCTCGGTCGAACTAAACTGCTCTGATTGTAACACTGACCCCATTCCTACTTACAGATGTCTTTATTGTGAAATTCTCTTCAATTCCAGAACTGAAATTAGGAGTTCATTTTAGAAATGAGCCTTTTTTTTTGGTTTTGCACTCTAACATCAGATTTGTCTTTTATTTTTTAGAGCAAACACTTTCAAATACATGTTGGATTGGTCGATTTTAAAGAAGATTTGAAGTTGTAATGCAGCAAATGTTCTCCTGTGGTAAAACTCTGTTGCTGTTCAGAGTGAAGACAAATATTTCCCTTCATCCAGGGTTAAGTTCATCATGGCGTTATTGTTCCTGACAAAAAGCACACATCCACTCCATATCCGAACGTCTTCTCAGCTTTTAATCAGTCTTTTTTTTTCCCTCTGCACTTATTTCCAATATTGATTCAGGCTGTGCTTAATACGCGTTGGCCCTAACGGACGGAAATAAAAAGGTTGGGGAATTTATTTGAATAAAAGATATGCAAGGAAAAAAAAACACTTTCCCTGTCAGCTTCCTTTTTGAATCAAATCACCTGATGCGCGTTGGTGATTTACTCCCGAGTCAATGGCAAACCAAAACTAAACCTCAGTGTCAAGTGGCAGGGCCCTCTTATCTCATTGAACTGTTCAATGAAACGAAGTTGTAGGTATGCGCCTCTCCTTTAGAAAAATCCCGCTCACACTCTTTGTTTCTTTGACGGCGTTTTAATCAGACTAAATGGCCGTGAGTTGACTTTTTAAGTCCACGTCGACATTAATGTAGTTTCTCAGTTCGGTTCCATTAGCTGGTTTGCAGTCTTCATTAGCGTTTGACATCAATGACAGGTCGTAATGATGTTTTTCCTCATTCCATCCACGTGCTAAAGGAGTGTTATACATCGTGAATCTGGTGCTTATCGGCTGATACTTTTACAGACCGACAAGCATCAAAAGTAACTAAAAGGGTGCTGGAGATTAAAGTATTTTTTGTAGAGTTTTATGTCCTTCATTATGAAAATAAAATAAAAAAACGTTGAATACCTCACCTGTTTTAAAAGCAATAGTAAAAAATCTCACCTTAGAATTAAGACAAACGTTTAAGCACTATGAATAATTAACAAAAGCAGAATCCTGTTGTGTGTTTTTCTCTGTTTCCCAGTCTCTCAAATGGTCATTGAAGAGGTCAGTGCCATACAGGAGGACTTTGAGATCGAGAGGATGTGCCGAGAAAGTGCAGAAGCCCTGGCCTCCAAGGTACGGTTCAGCTTTACGTGGTTCCTCAAATATAGGGACATTTTAAAAAGGGCTGCAGGGCGTGAAACAGAAACCAAAGATTAACAAGCGAGGCTTAAAAGGGTTTCAGAATCCATGGGTTTAAGATATACTACTTGCATAGTCTATAAGAAAATAAGCCTGTGCCGATGAGTGCATTAACACAAATGTTATGCTGCAATCAGAAGCCCGAAATTGAATTGGATTCTTCTGATTCAGGGAAGACTTTTTTTTTTTATAGTTTGTGATTGAGAGTTGGGGAGCTGGCCCGTCGTGATTTCACGGCCAATCGGGGCTGAGATTATCACTGTAATCATTCCTCATTCAGTGTCTGTACAAAAGCCATCAGAGTCCACCTGGCTGCACCAGATTTTGGGCAGTGGGAGGCTGATGGAGAATTTCTATTAAACGCTGACGTTTTTATAGACTTTTTTCTACCACCCTTCGCCATTCGGCTTGTCTCTTTCTTGTTTTTTAAAATCGCGGTGTTTCGGAGGAGCTCTGACCAACATGACAACCATTTTTAGTTGAAAAACTCCACCCCCCACAAACCTAACCCTAACCCTAACCCTACATTTTAAGAATTGGCTTAATTGAAAAAGGTTTGATTCATCCCTCGTTCCTATGCTTCCTCACGTCAACATCAGTTTCCTTTTGCTGTTTTGGTTTCATCGAGTTTATTTTTTTTTAGCTTCTCAGCCATCTTTTGTCTCTTTATAGTAAATCTTGGTTATCTCTGTGTCTTTTTCCCTCATGGCCCCCAAATTCTCAGGAACAAGCTTCCTTTGTGCACAAGACTTCTGTTGATGTGCTCAAATCTTGTTTGAAAACACAGTTTTGTTCTTCGGCTTTTTAAATCAGGGTGAGACTGACATTGATTTGAGTGTTTATTCGTGTTTTTGATGAGCTTTGTTCTGCCTGCTTTTAGATCACTTTAATTTCTCTCTGTTCTTACGGTTTAAAACTTTAGGCTATTAAATATTTTATTCCTGTTCTATGCTTTCTATGCATGCAGCACCATGGCCAACCAGGTGTTATGTTTCAGAGTACTATATAAATAAGCATTGTACGGTATGTATTCATTTCTTTGACCCTTCAACTTTTTGAATTCAACAAAAAGGAGAGGCAAAGCCATTTCAATGCAGTTAGATGAGCATGTGGTTTTGATGCTTAATGTTTTTGTGTTGATGTGCGATCCCGATAAGATGAAGGGCTGTTACATTGTAATAGTGACCTTTGGAGTGTGAAAGCTAGTCCTGTGTCAGTCTTGATTCTTCCGAGTATGTAATTTCATACGTGCATCTGTTGCCAGTAGTGCACCTTCAAAAGGGTTTGATTCCATGTTATATATTGTTGATTGCATTTCATAAAAAGGATGCAGTCTGAAAGGTGTCATCAAAAGATAGAATTGCTGCAATCTGCTCGCACCAGGATGCCATTAATACATTTTTATGGTTTGCCTTTATTATTCCCTTTCCCTTTTCACTTTAGACGCATTTCATCTGTCACAAGACATCAAGATGCATGAATAATTGCCATCAATCTCCTTTACTAATGTTTTACTCCATGCAGATCAACTTAAATGATACGCATGGGCTTCCTTATGAAAAAAAACTTTTAGAAATGGGAAGATGATTGTGGCAGTATATCTGTTATGTCAAGCAAGTCATTTGCAAAGGAGAAAAACACCACAATGAATGTCTTTTACAAGTGATTATGAGAGCTACATGCAAACATTATGCATAGAAATGCAAACATCACAGAAAAGACTATGATTATTTTAAAAGATCTCTTCATGCTTCCTACGCTTCTCTAATTATGTTTGTTTTCTCCTAGCTTTTGCATACACACTCCTGCCATTATGGCTGATTGCAGGGCCAAGGAATAGAGAAAATCAGAGCAACAACTCGTCTGTCTTGCCTTTCGCTCTCCGACCTTATTGCTGTGCCCATCTTTCACCATCTCAATACAAGGGGTATTTTTGGCCAAGCTGTTTTGGAAAAAAGGATTTCGAAATGCAGGCACACTCATTTATACTAGGAATCACGTAGGAATCAGTTTCTTAGAAAAAAGGACAGAAGATGCCGCACCATGTGATCTCATCTTGTATTTTCTTTGACTAAAGCAGAAATTGTTCAGTTTCATTCTGCTTGATTGTGATTTAAATAATCACCAAATACATACAAATTTGCTTTTAAAACCACAAGGAAATGTACAAATGCGACAAATGGCTTGATATAGAATATTTTTAAAACTGTAATGAAGGTTAAAAAACAGTAATTTGATAAAGGTACATTACAGTGGACATTATGGTCAACATTTTTCAGTTCAGTGAAATCAAGAAAAAGCTCTCTAGTTCTTTCCCACAAACATACCAATGTTTATTGCGGCAATGTGTCAGCAAAGGAAAGTCCTTTTGACAAGTAGAATATGTCGGTGTGTGTAATAATGTGTGTAATAATGTTTTGCTCCTTTCTACAGCTAGACCGTCAGAACCGCTCGCTCAAGAGGAAAAGCATGATGCTACTGTCCCACCTCAGTCCTGAGACCATCTCAGAAATTAATGAGATTAATCTCATGGATGATGAAGCCGAGGGGGAAGAGCCACAAGATCCAAGTGGCGTTTGCCTCTCCCCCCACTGCCACACCCTCATTTCAGGTACAAGGTGTCTCCAGATTTGTAGCATTGTTTATTCTTCTAGAAAGCAAGGACAGTGAATTTAGTACTACTTTGCCAATTAAGAAAATACTTGAAATAGACTGAATATGCTGTAAAAAAAAAAAAAAAAAGAGAACCTTCATATAATCCAAGGAATTTATTTTGGGATATTGTCGCAAGATTTTTAAGCGATCATTAGAATTCATTACAGAAACAACATTTTATTAAAAATCCCACTCGCTTTTTCGTGGTCGACATCTTTATTTCAGGTTTAGATCCTCTGCCAGAAGCCGGGGAGGTTGAAGGTTCCACGAAGTTTTCTCCCATCTGTTCAGTTTCCTGCTTTGGTTATCCAGCACATACGCTGGATTTTATTTTGTTATAAGAATTGCCTTTTTTTGTACAGGTTGTTTTCTAGTTCATTGGTTTTTTTCGAACAACAAAAGCAGAAATGTGACGTAACATCATATCTAAACTTTATCAATTATCATTATCAATTAACATAAATGAGAGTATATGGTGTCTTATGTTATTCTCAGGATAACATTCATGAGTCTTGGCTTGTAAGTGATGGGTATTTTGAGATTCTGTGATTTGAATTGAGTACTTTGCCTGTAAAAGAATGGAATTACATCCTGTTTTCTTTATTAAACAAAATCCCCGTCCTACCCAACAACTTTTGACAGCTGAGCAGAAAGGGACTTTTTTTCTTTAGGACTAAAGAAAAGACTCAGTCCTGTTCTGAGCAGCTTTGACAGTATAATGCATCTGAAGTTTCAAAGATTTCCTACCAGATTCTTTCACTGTTTTCAATATCTATTGGTTTGTAAAATGAAAGCAAGTCAAAGTGGTTGACTGGCATTACAATACACTCTAATAACACCCCATTGTGTGGACTTAGCTTTTATGTAATTTAATGTAAGCCACGCATATCCACTCTCCATTCAGTTCAAATCTTTGAATGCTCCATATCATGTAGTTTGCAACTTGGATGTTAGACAACGGCATGAGAACTAACAACAAAAAACAAGGAAGAAGTATTGCTGGTTAACACCAGATGGTGTGATAAAGGGTAGAGGCTGTACACAGTAAAACGTTTTCTGTGAACTAGCATCAACACATCTAAGCATAGGTTCATCTTCTGGTAATGGTGGAAATGTCCCTGCTCAGGGACGTTTATCCCTTCAGTCCCTCAGCGTCTGCAGCGAGATGTTCAGGATCTTCTACAGCTCCTCATTCTCTACAGACTTAAAGAAAACTGGACCATTTGATAAAAGAAGACTGGCTCAGTGCCAGGGACTAATTTGGAGCATCTGGAGCTTTTTTGTTCACAGAAAGAATGCGACACAGGTTGAGGAACATAATGGAGAACCCTGCGCCCTTCTACACAACACAGGGATGAAATAATGGAGTGTTTTCAGTCAGAGGCTTTCTCAGCTCAACACAGAACCCATAAGAGGTCATGCTTGCTAGCAGCAATAATCCATCCATCCATTTTCTATACCTGTTCTATCCAAGAAAGAGTCATTTGTGAGGGTATAGAAAGCAAAGGCACAATGCATTAGCACTAATTTGATCTGAACAACAGAGCTACACCAGGTTCTGCATAAACACCCAGCAGAAAGACTCTTTCATTTAAGTTCACATAGTTCTCAGGTCACTTCACTGTTGTTTCACCAAACAATTTCATCAGTAAAACATAGTCAGTGCAGCGTATCCCATCACTGAATCATAGAACAAAAGTGTGTTTTGTCTTCTTTTTCAGAACTACAGAAGAAGTTGGAGTCTACTCTCGAGAGGGAAAAACAGGCCGTTTATGATCTAGAATCAGTACGACAGCAGCTAAGGGAGACGAGGGACGAAGTAAGTTGTCCTCCACTCAGAAACAAAGACGTAGGACTTCAGAAAGTGGGAGAGAGGGAATATGTTATTCAGAGAAATGTACAGGACTGTCTCAGAAAATTAGAATATTGTGATGAAGTTCTTTATTTTCTGTAATGTAATTAAAAAACATGAAATGTCATACATTCTGGATTCATTACAAATCAACTGAAATATCGCAAGCCTTTTATTGTTTTAATATCGCTGATTATGGCTTACAGCTTAAGAAACCCAAATATCCTATCTCAAAATATTACAATATCGGATTTTTGAGTTTTCTTAAGCTGTACGCCATAATCAGCGATATTAAAACAATAAAAGGGTTGCGACATTTCAGTTGATTTGTAATGAATCCAGAATGTATGACATTTCATGATTTGTTATTGCATGACAGAAAATAAAGAACTTTATCACCATATTCTAATTTTCTAAGACAGTCCTGTAGAATCTCACTGCACTTCCAAATAACCCCTTTGAGAAGGCGTCACATAAGCTGTTGTGGAAATTGTATCTTAAAGCAAAAGTCTGAGTCCATCTGAGGAAGTAAGAAATAGAAATGTATTAAAAAGGGAAAAAGGGAAGGGGAAAACTTCATGAAGTGAGAGCAGCTACTGTACCAAACTGCCCCAAAGTAAAACAAATCATGGTGCATTTTATACCCCTCTGAGTCTGAAAATAAGACGTAAAGTCTGTCCTTGATTCTGCACCAACAATCCTCCAGCCAAAACATTCAGAGATAAAGAATAAGGAGACTCTCTCTGAGACCTAGAAGGAGGAAAGAGTGCCATGAGAAAGAAAAAGAACCTTTAAAATATTCAGTTGTGGAAAGTTACCGGAGAGAAATGAAAAAAGTGATTATACATATATTGATTTCCCTAACAAAGCCAATGTTTTTTATTGTCTGTCCTGCTTCTAAAGCTGTTTCTTTTATAGCACAGCGTAGTCAGGAATCAGGGGGTCCTGATATTGCTATATATTTGAGAAACTGTCCAGAATGTTAGATTTCCGATTGGTTCTCTCTGGAAAATCAGGGAAGACAAAAAAAGCTAAATCTGCTGGTTTAGAAACCAGCTGAAATGTCTAAGATGGACAGGCAAGGTTCAAACATACACAAGAGGAAATGGAAATGTCAGATTTATTAGGGTTACCTGTTTCCTGTCACTTGCTAGTTGTCCAAAATTAAAGGTAGGAGTCCAAAATTGCTTTTTGGCTTGATTGAATGATCTTTTTCTGAAGTGTAATGTTGGTTCTTGTTGGTGGATTGGACATTACCCATACCATAATTCCTTTAGAAAAGTCAGTAAATACTGTATGCTATACACCTTTAAAGGTTGGATATTTGAACTGTTTTTGAATCGTCTCTGCTTTCATTTTCCAGCTTATCAAAGAGAAACATGACAATACGGTTTTAATTGCTGAGAGAGTCCAACAAAAGAAGCTCCTGGAGAAATATACCAGAGGTGAGAGTTACATTTATGTGGTATAGCTGCTGTGCAGATTTCAGATAAGACCTTTTTTTTTATAGAAATGGTACATGATGCATTAATGGCTATTTAGTGAGAGTGAGGGCATTTTCTCTTTCAGACGTACAGTAGGTCAGTGCTAAGTTAATGTTCCCTACTGCTTCATTCAGATATGCCCACCACAAAACAAAGAGCCACAGCCCACCCACTACTTCTTTATCTCCCCTAATTGGGTGACGCGTTTAGGAAGGCCTAATACATCAGGTCAGAGTTTGATGGTTTTTTAACACAGCGTGCTGACTTTAGAAATGATTGTTTATTTCAACAACATGTTCATTTTTAAAAGAATGTCAGCAATGGATGTGGGAATGAAAACATTTAAGGTTGCTTAGCAGCTGGTATGATAAAGGACTCAAATTCACATTCACAGGGTTTTTTTTTTATAGATAGTGTAACAGATTGTTGTCCTGTTAACATTAAAATAGCAGTAAACGTGTATTTTTCTTCACCTGGCTCTAATATAAAAGAAAAATACTTTGGGGAAGTAACAGTGTGGGAAATTTGAATAGTCAACAGCTCAAAATTGAAATATTTAGATATTCACTTGTAACTCAGTGAATAACAATTAAAGAATCATCTGTGAAACGTGTG